ATTTCATGAACCCCTCTCCCATTTGTTAGCCTATTCATAATCCCAAATAAAGATATGAATTTTGCTTTTTATGAAAGTCAACTTTTTTCTAAACTTGTCTTGAAATATTTTACAGGTGAAAAATGAAGTGGATGTGATAAAACTGAGGGTTATTGCATCAGAGCCCAAAGACAAAAACACATTTGAAATTGAGAACTACAGCGGACTAACAGAAGTGCTGGAAAACTTTCAAAAAAATATTTTTAAAACTGAGGGTAAATAAAACAATAATTCCTCACAATAAATACATACGATAATATTAGTTAGAATACTAGTTCTTTTCTTCAGGCACTACGGCAGCTCTGGCCGGAGACTTATCAGAGGAAATGTCTCAGACTGGATTCAGCGTTGCCTATGGAAAAGTAAGTATTCCATTTATAATTTATATATAATATTATATATTATGAAGAACTTTTGACTTGGACTCGTGGTTTTGGGACTCGTCTTGGTCTCTATGGTATTTGCTCTTGTAGTTTTTTCAAAATTCACATTTCACAGATCGTTTTAGTTAACTGGTGGAAAATTGTTTGGTGACACAGGGATTTGTTTTCCCTGTGTCTGTGTATGTTTCCTCCAGGTGCTCCGGTTTCCTGTACCACTAAAAACCTGTCTGGCATGCGCCTTCTGTATGGCTAATCAACTCCCATCTCTATGTGGAGTTCAGTCTATGGTTTGGAGTGGGGCAGTGTCTCTCACCCCTCAACAATTGTAAAGCGCTTTGTTACTTGGTCTATGAAAGGCGGTATTTAAAGAAAGATTACTTACTTACTTAAAATATATTTTTGAATCGAACAACCTACAGTGTTGTATTAGATGTATTAAAGATCCCATTTTCTGTGTGACAGAACGGTCTGGTGTTTGGCTCCGTGGGCTTCCGTACGTGGCGTGGATCTCTTCATGAGATCATAAATGAAACAGAGACACAGATCCAGGATTCAGAGCAGGAGGAAGTCTCTTACCTGGGTATGAAACATTTTAGTTAATTTATATATTTGACTAAAGCAGCGGTTTGTAGTCAAGGATCTCCAAATATGTGAAAAGGAACTATTCAAGTGCAACAGTACAATGGGTGTATTGAGTTTTTGAGCTACTTTCAGCTTATAATGTAAAAGATAAAGTTTTATTGTTAGTGGTTTCTCACCTGAAAGTCATCAGAGATGATCTGATGTGGAAGCCTCAGACCTGCTGTGTTCAGCTTCAGAATGTATCCAAAACACACAATTGCTGGTTTTAAGGCAAGGCAAGGCAAGGCAAGTTTATTTATATAGCACAATTCATACACAAGGCAATTCAAAGTGCTGAACAAAACAAGAAAGCATTAAAATCATAAATTATCACAGAACATTAAAAAGAAATAAATATAAAATCCCTCAGTTGTATGCACAGTTAAACAGAACTGTCTTTAACCTGGTTTTAAACATTGTCAGAGAGGAGGCCTGTCTCACATCTTCAGGAAGACTGTTCCAGATTTTAGCAGCATGAATCTGAAAAGCAGCCTCCCCATGTTTAGTTCTGACTCTGGGCACTAACAGGAGTCCAGTCCCTGTGCTCCTCAGAGTCCGGGCTGGTTCATATGGGACTAACATGTCACTAATATATTTTGGTGCGAGGCTATGGAGAGACTTGTACACAAGCAGAGCTGTTTTAAAGTCTATTCTCTGAGCCACAGGAAGCCAGTGCAGAGACCTGAGGACTGGACTAATGTGGTCGTACTTCCTGGTTCTTGTCAGGACTCGAGCTGCTGCATTTTGAATGTACTGCAGCTGTTTTACAGCCTGTTTGGACAGACCTGTGAGCAGGCCATTGCAGTAGTCTAACCTACTGGAGACAAATGCATGGATAAGAATCTCCAAGTCTGCTTTAGACACTATGTTTTTGATCCTGGCAATGTTTTTTATATGGTAAAAAGCTGCTGATGTTACTGATTTGATGTGGCTATTAAAATTTAAGTCTGAGTCCAGTATTACCCCTAGATTTCTGACCTTGTTTGAAGGTTTTAGGGAGAGAGACTGTAGGTGACAGATGACGCTCTCTCTTTGTTTCTGGGGACCAAAGACAATCATTTCAGTTTTGTCTGCGTTTAGCTGAAGGAAGTTGTTTTGCATCCACTCACTGATCTGTTGGATACAGTGAAGGAGTGAGTCCACTGGTCCATGTTCTCCTGCAGTCAGTGAGACATAGATCTGAGTGTCGTCTGCATAGTTATGATAGGAAACTTTGTTTCTGCGTATTAACTGACCTAACGGCAGCATGTAGAGATTGAACAGAAGAGGTCTCAGGATCGACCCCTGTGGGACTCCACAGGTCAGGGCCATATGATCTGAGACACAGTTTCCAATCTCCACAAAGTACTTCCTGTCTTCAAGGTAAGACCTAAACCAACTTAGGGCGGTGCCAGTGACGCCAACCCAGTCCTCTAGTCTCTGTAAGAGGATCTCATGGTCGACGGTGTCAAAGGCAGCACTCAGATCTAACAAGATTAAGATTGAGACTTTGCCTGCGTCAGTGTTCAGCCGGATATCATTTGTAACCTTAACGAGAGCTGTCTCAGTGCTGTGGTGGGGTCTAAAGCCGGACTGAAACATATCAAATGAGTTGTTGATTATAAGAAATCTAGTAAGCTGTAGGTAGACAACTTTCTCAAGGACTTTCCCCATAAATGGCAGATTTGAGATGGGACGATAGTTGTTAAGTACCGTAGCATCGAGACTGCTCTTTTTTAGCAGGGGCCTGATGACTGCAGTTTTCAGGGCCTTTGGGAATATTCCAGAATGAAGGGACATGTTTACTATCTGTGTGAGTGAAGGTAACAGACTGGTCAGAACAGACTTCAGAAATCTAGTGGGTAGTACATCCAAGCTGCATGTGGAGGAGCTCAAACTGGAGATTATCTCTTGGACAGTTTTATCATTTACAGGTGCAAAGTGAGTTAGCTCAGAGAGCCTTTCTGGCTGTTGGATGGTTATCTGTGGATTGGAGACAATGGCGCTTTTGATGCCTTGAACCTTGTCATTGAAAAAATTAGCAAACTCATTGGATTTACGTTTGGAAGTAAGCTCTAATGGCATTTGAACAGGGGGGTTTGTTAATCTATTAACTGTTGAGAACAGAACACGCAGATTGTTGCTGCAGCCTTCAATCATTTCAGAAAAATACCTTTCTCTCGTACTACGTAGCACCCGGTTACACTCGCACAACTTATCTTTGAAGATCTCGTAATCTACCTGGAGGTTGGACTTGCGCCACTTCCGCTCGGCCCTCCGGCACTTTCTCTTTTGTGCCCTGACCGAGTCTGCTTTAGCCCACGGCGCCTTCTGCTTATTTTTCACTATTTTAACCTTCACAGGGGCAACGGTATCCAGAACATTCAAAACACTAGAGGTGACAGAGTTAAACAGTTCATCTACAGTAGAATACGATGCATTCTCAAAGTTTATCATTTCCATAAATAGTTCACTCGTATTTTCATTTATGCGCCTTCTTCGAACAGTTGCAGAGTCCACTGGTGGTTTGTTAGTGAAACACATGTCAAAAAAAACACAGAAATGATCCGAAAGAGCAACATCGACCACGTTTACATTTGAAATAATCACCCCCTTTGTAACTAACAGATCTAGAGTGTGCCCTCTGCTGTGGGTGGGGCCACTTACGTGCTGAGTGAGATCAAAGGATTCAAGTACAGAACTCAGCTCATTTGCATTTCTGTCATCAACATTATCCACATGAATATTAAAATCACCTGTAATAACCAAACTATCAAAATCTGTGCATACAACTGAAAGCAACTCGGTAAAATGATCAATAAAACTGTGACATGACTGCGGTGGCTTGTATAGGACAACGAAGAGTATTGGAGGAGATTGTTTTTGTTGTATTTTAAAAGACACATATTCAAATGACGAAAACTTCCCAAGAGACATTCTATGGGAGACAAAGTGGTCTCTAAAAATGGCAGCTAAGCCTCCTCCTTTTTTGTTTTCCCGTATTTCAGATTCAAACTTGAAATTTGGTGGTGATGCTTCTATTAAAACTGCATTTTCTGAATTTTGGTCAAGCCAAGTTTCAGCCATGAACATAAGATCAAGATTATGAGAAGAAATAAAATTATTGATTAAAAAAGACTTGTTACAAAGAGATCTGACATTAAGCGTACAGTAGCAAGTTTCAAAGTTTCAGTATCAGCGGTTGCGGTCGGCTGATTCTTACACGGAACAAGAATTAAATTTTCCAGATTAGACTGATTAACTCCAGATGTTTTTCTGTAATGTATTCTTTGTGTTATCACTAAGGGAATGGCACAGGTGGCTTCATGACAGGGCCCCAGCCGGGTCTCTCCTCTAACTAGTAGTGTTTAGAGAAAAGAGGGGAAGGGGAAGGCAGGGGAGGAGGATGGAGAGGTGGGTGGCTTTTGGGTGTTGAACGAGGGGGGCAGGGAGGTGGAGGGGTTTTAGGTGATGGGTTAGGGCCGGGGTGGGTTGAGGCAGAGGTTTTGGATGTTGAACGAGGGGGAAGTGGGGGTGGAATGGTCATGAGGTTAGGGAAGGGACTGGCTGAGGTGGTTTTTGTAGGTGAATTGGAAACCCTAGGTGGTTTTGGAGGTACATATGGGGAGTGGTTTAGAATGTTGGACAGGACTCTAGATCGAGCTAATATGGGTGTGAGAGGAATAGTCTTCATCGCCGATTTTATTAGCCCTGCAGAGTGTTCAGGTAGGTCTAACAGTGAAGGCGGGGATGAAAAACAAAGGGAGGTGTCCCCATTCTCTCTTGATGGAGTGGACGTGGCAGGGGGGACCCAAGACAGGTCCATGGGAGGTGGCGAGGGAGTCTTTAATGGAGGGGCAGGTGGTTGAGGAAACCCCAGCACAGGCCTGTCTGCTGTAGGCTGGGGTGAGGATTGGGGCTTCAGAGGCGCTGTAGATGAAGAAGGCGTGGCTGCTTTGGAGCAGGCTGGGGATGAGGATGGTGGTGGTGGTCGTGCTGCTGGTGCTGCTACTGGTGATGATGCAGCTGCTGCTGGTGATGATGCAGCTGCTGCTGGTGATGATGCAGCTGCTGCTGGTGATGATGCAGCTGCTGCTGGTAATGATGCAGCTGCTGCTGGTGATGATGCAGCTGCTGCTGGTGATGATGCAGCTGCTGCTGGTGATGATGCAGCTGCTTCTGATGACAGTGGAGGTGTTGAGATCCTTCGAGGTGGTTGTGGTGTTGAGATCCTTTGAGGCGGTGATGGTGTTGAGATCCTTCGAGGTGGTGGAGGTGTTGAGATCCTTCGAGGTGGTGGTGGTGTTGAGATCCTTCGAGGTGGTGGTGGTTTAAGTCCACATCAGGTCAGGTTTTTTTCTTCTTTAGTCTATAATAATTTTCTCGGGCCACTTTGAGTTCCATGGATGCCAACTTTGTCAATGGTTTTGGCGATTGGGTTGTGACATTTTGATTTTATCTCCATTCCTTTCATTCTCTTTTGCACTGGACCTTTGCTTTAGGTTACTCTGTGTCTGTGGGAGAAAAGAACAAGACTGCTCTGTATTTTGCCGGAGCTCCGAGATTCAAACACATGGGACAAGTTGTGCTTTTTACATCAGCAAGTGGAAACTGGGCTCCTGCTCAATGGATCAACGGAGAGCAGGTTGGTTTCTATAAAATGTATAATAACATAATATATGGTATTAATGGTTTACAACCTGTGAGTGGATAACATACAGATGTCGAGCTAATGTAGACACATCTCATAATGGTTTATCCACAAAAGAACTAAATTCAGCAAACCCTCAATATTTTAGTATGGATTTGTTTTGAACGTAACTTCCTCAGACTATATTCATATGCAAATCTGTATGTCTTCATGTCCAGCACGGCTCATACTTTGGTGCAGAGCTGTGCTCTGTGGACGTGGACTCTGATGGCAACACTGACTTCCTGCTCGTGGGAGCTCCTCTGTTTTACCAGCCACATTGAGCGGCTGAGGGCAGGATCTACATCTACAGGCTGAGCGACGAGGTGACATTAATCACAGTAAAGCTTTAGCGGGAAACTTATCAAATTGTGTATGATTTACAAATGATCAACACAAAAATGCTTTGATTCGTGGTTTGGTTATAAGCCATGATTCCTGTTACAGAATATTGTGTCATGAATTCTGAACAATGTGAGTGTTGTTTCACAGATGAAGCTGATGAACCTCTTTAACATCACTGCACATGTCATGGGGAGGTTTGGCTCGACTATTGCCAGTGTGGCTGATGTGAACGGGGACGGGCTCCGGGACGTTGCTGTCGGGGCCCCGCTGGAGAACCAGAACAGAGGAGCAGTGTATCTGTCAAGTCAATCTGTGATTAGACAGTCCCCTGACTTGATAGGGAAAGGGCTCACTACTGGGTATTAAACGACTCCACTCAAGTTTCTTTGGAATTTCTTCTTCCTTTTATTTTTACTTTCATCAGGTGAAAACCTTCAAACAGTGCACACAAAAGAAACCCAGTATAAGGACAGGTAGGTACTCTAAACAACAACTTCACAGATAAAAAAAATGTCCAACTAGGTTAGCGTTTATAAACTTTAGCAAAAATATCACAACTATACAACCATTTACATTTTTAAATATATTTACCATTCTTGAATAAACCGCATTTGATCTCTATTAGTTACTCTCAAAATCATGATTCAGTTGCTAGAAAAATAGTTTAAAATACTTTTCCCATTTATGTTAAACCTAACAAATATACAGAATTAAACTGGTCAATGAAAGTCTCTGATGTTCACATTTCACCTGTGAGACGAAACCCTAAACACCCCAGCGCCTTTGAGCACATGACGAGCACATCGCTATCAACACACAAACGTTGCCTCTTACCGGCAGTCCCCCAGTAGTTGTGTTGCGAGTCCCCGTTCTGTCCAACTCTTTCTCTCACACGATCTCCTGCGTAACTCAGATGCCTCTCTCCTCACCGGTTTGTTTTGGTCTACCACTTGAGCGGAAGTGCGTTGCTTAAACCAGTCCGGCCGCACGCCGCTAACTAAGTGATTGGTTCCGCTCCTTGTGAGCCGCCAGACTGACGCCCGCCGCGACACCTCCCACTCGAGCTTTTGTTGGTCCACAAGAAGGTCGCAGCACTCTCCGGTGAGCTCTGACGCTATGAGCAACCAATAGCTTGCTCCTCTACAGGCAACAGGACTACCAGGCGCCTCACATCTCTGTGCAATACCACTCCAATGGGACTCCTCTTCTGGCTACTGGATACTGACTGAACAGCTGGCTTTGGCCCCTGGGCTGGAACACTGTGGCCCGACGTGACTAAGATCTCGACATCCCTTACAACACCCTTGGGATCAGGAGCCACCCCGACTACTCTACCAAGCTTGAACTGACCCCGCAGAGCATTTTGATCACAAAGCCAAACCACATCCCCCACAGCAACATTTCTTTCAGTGGTATGCCACTTGGGCCGGATGAATAGGTTTGGGCCGGCAAGCTGTGACCAAGCTTTCCAAAAGCTGCTGACTTGGGTTTGAATCTCTTGAAGGCGCCTGTAGGGATAGCTGTTAAAATCCAGAGAGTTAAAGTCGCCATCTTGAGACGCTCGTCCCTGGAGGAGTGCATTTGGCATCACATACTGAATGCGATCCTTCCGACTCTGGACTCTCGCATCAATAGGCCGCTCATTTGCCAGGTTTGCTGCCAATTGAAGTGCTGTGAGAAACTCATAGAACGTAAGGTTTGTCGACTTGCCCAAACTCTGCAAAGCCCTTTTCACGACTCGTACAGCAGCTTCAGCAGCTCCATTCCGATGTGGTGAATCTGCAGGGAGCACTTTCCATGTCCAGCTCGTCCCATTCCGCACAGCGTAGTTTTCAAGACTTTCTGTGTCCTGACTCTGCAGGAAAGCATACAGCTCCGCCAACACAGTTCTTGCTCCAATGAAATTGGTCCCAGGGTCAGACCAAATTTTTTGAGGGTGCCCCCTTATTGCAACAAATCTTTGATAGGCCATTAGGAAGCTCTCTGTGGACATACTGCAGACCAACTCCACGTGGATGCCTCTACTCGCCATGCAGCAGAACACGACTCCCCAAGCCTTCATGGACACCCGTCTCTTGACATCATCTCTCACCAGGTATGGCCCAAACATGTCCACGGACGTAAACTGGAAAGGCAAAGCAGGTCTTGATCTCTCGATTGGTAGATCACCCATTACTTGTTGGCACACCTGAGCTCTCGCCTTCCTGCAGAGAATGCACTGGTTAACAGCCTTTTGCGCTAACCTTCTCCCTTGAACAATCCAAGCTTTCTGCCGCATCTTCAACAACGTTCCAGCAACACCTTCATGACCTTCTTCATGACTTTGACGAGCTAACAGAGTACCCAGCCAGGCACCGAGTGGGATCAGCGGAACAGCCACACAGTCCTCCTTAAAGTGTTGGACTCTTCCGCCACATACCATCAGTCCACTTGCCTTGTCCTTGTACACAACCAGCCGATCAGTTGTGGTGCTGGAAAACATTGCCCCTTCTTGAGCTGCAATGCAGAGATCCCGGAAGGCATCCTCTCTCTCGGCCACAGTAACAACACCGGCCGACTGGATTGCCTCCCACTTTGGTCTTCCACTTGCCTTGGCACGCAAGAACCTCTTCGCCACTCTCCAGACTAGCGCCACCGAGTTCAGCAGTTTTGCCAGTTTGCTAAACCGCTTAACATCCAACAGTTTTGCAGCTGCGCCCCCAGCCGGAGGCCTCCGCATGCCTATCTGGATCAAAACTGGATTCTCCTCTGCCTTTTCCCTTGCTCTGGGACCGGGTTAGAGCGGCAACAAAAGACTTTTTCTGGATCCGCACGATGTTTTCTCTTGCTGCAACAGCAACATCATTAGCCGACTTTACAGGCCACTCGTTCTCTGGGAGGCTTAAGAACTTGGGCCCCGCCTGCCACTCGGAGCCTTCATCCAATTCCCTAGGCCCTGCTCCCCTTGAAATAATGTCCGCAATGTTAAGCGCCCCAGGGATCCACCACCAATCTTGAACACTTGTGCAGCTTTGAATTTCCCCTATCCTATTGGCGAAGAACGTTTGATAGCCGTAGCTTTCCCGTTGTATTGCCCCGAGGACTGTCTGGCTATCAACCAAGTGACGCCATCTCTCCACAGGAATCCTACAGTGCTTCTGGAAGTACTTTTTCAACCGGGCAGCGTAGACAGCTCCGCATACCTCCGCCTTCACGGCATCCCCTTTGTGCTCCAACGGTGTCAGCTTGGCCTTGGACTCCACGAACCGTACAGTCACGCCTTGACGACTTTCCCAACGGAGGTACAGCACAGCACCATACGAACACTCACTGCCATCGGAGAATGTGATGCCACAGGGCTCAGCACTTGAACAGGAGGTGTCAGAGACCTGGTGAATCTCAACTGGCTGAGTTCTGCATAGTCTTCCAGCAGACACATGGCATCTTCCCGAAGGCCCTCGGATAAAGGGACATCCCATGTGTCCCCCGTTGAGCTGTACTTCACCTTTGCTTCCTGAAAGGCTCTTCTCACCAAGATGGCCCCTTTTTGCTTGACCGGTGTCGCAAGGCCGAGGGGATCATATAGCCCAGAGACTTGACTTAAAAGCTCTCTTCGAGTGAGTGGGTTTGGGGTCTGTGCCCTTACGTTCTCTTTTGACAAGTTCTCCCCCAACCTCATCTTCTTTTTCTTTTTGGAAAAGTTCACGGCCACCATTAAATGAAGCTTGTCATCTTCTGGATCATATCCAAGGCCAAGCGCTTTATTATCCTCCTCCGAGAGTTGATTTGGGAGGACCATTGTCGAGGTCCCGTTCCGCTTTTCCTCCTCACATTTTTGCCTCCCACTTTGGCCTGAGTAAACCCACGGCTTCATATGGAATCCACCGGCTCTTAAAACTCGCTCGACATTGGCCGTTATAACCTTGAGCCGGCTCAGGTCGTTGTGGGAGGTGAGGATGTCGTCGACATATGCATCTTGTTCCAGCACACGCCGCTCTTCTCCAAGGTGGGCAAATGCTGGCAAATTTGCTGTCTCACGCATAGCTACCTGCGCGATACAGCCTGCAGGTTTGTCGCCGATGTTAACCCTTGTGATCGCGTATTCTTCAACATCCTCATCCTCAGAGTCCCTCCAAAGGAACCGATGAAGATGGACTTCATCCTCCTCGAGCCACACCGAATTATACATTTTTTTGATATCTCCAAGAGCGGCAAAGACACCCTTCCGAAATCGTAGGAGGACAGCACGGATGTTGTTAAGGACATCTGGGCCCTTGATCAGCCGGTCATTTAGGCTTTGGCCCCTGAAGTTTTGACTGCTGTTCCACACCAGGCGAACTGGCGTGGTGACCGAGTGGGGGTTTGGTGCGATCAGGTGGCTGATATACCATACTGGCCCAGTCCAGCTCTCCAACTCCTCCCTTGAGAGCTTGACCGCAGCTTTCCTCTCCACCATCTCATGGATTTGCCCTTCGTAGGCCACCTTCCACTCCAGTTCCTTTGACAACTGCTTTTCAGTCCTCAGAAACGTTGCTTGGACAGCGCGCCTGTTGTTGGGCAACGTTGCTGGATCCTCTGTCCAGGGGTACCTTGCATGCCAGTGCGGCTCTTCACTGTGGTGATCTCCCATTACATATGTCAGCCCGCTCTTTATTTGCTCCAGCTCCCGCTCCTCCGAAAGCGTCATCTCCTTGCCTCCAGGTTGACAGTTTCCACATCTACAGCCCCCACACTTGGGTTCGCAGGCGGCCCCGATACTGTCCCACCTCCACCAGTCTACAAAATCTCGACTAGCAGTTGATGTAGCAGCCAGAATGAGCGGAGACTGTTGATCTGGGCCGCTGTATGCAATTTCTCTGTATTTGGCAGCAGCTGTTCGCATAGAGCGTGCAAAATGAGTTTGGGAACCATGGGCTGTGACAGTAACTTCCTCCAGGAGATCAGGGTGTGACCCTCCTACCGTTTTCCCAAGGGGCCCATCCCACAAGACAAGGTCCCCAACGGAACGCACCTTCTGAGGGACAAGTTGGCCTTCCTTGTGGCTGATCAGAAGCTTAATCTGAGTAGGCCGGACCAGCTCTTTGAGGGGGACATCTGGAAATATCGTATGCAGTTTTTTAGGTGAAATGTGGCGATTCACCTCTGCGATATTATCCAGCCCATAACAAACAAGCTGGTGAGATTTCCGGGTACCCTTTGGAGTTGTGACTCGGATCCTCAGGAGGTATCGCTTAGTTTCAACAGTGACTTGCATTCCTCCGACGCCATGAACCATGAGCGTCACGTCCTCGCTCCTTAGGTTTAACTCGCCCGC